CTGTTGACTTGTAGAAGTTTGTTGATTCTTTGCTTCAACTGCCAGGCCCTGGGGCCACTGATGCCACTTCAGGGAATCTTGAAGGAGAGATCGTCAGCACAAATGGTCCCAGCAGCTGCTAGAGCCTTGCCCTAGTATTCCCTAATGGAGCTGGCTAAACACAAGCAGCAGTCAAATTTGTTACCGAATCCAGGCTTGCTCCACCCAGTGAACAACAGGCCAGTGAATCAGAGATGAGATGTTGAGGGAAAGAATGTGACTTTATTCGGTAAGCTGGCTGACTGAGAAGATGGCAGACTAACATCTCAAAATAACCTTCTTGGGTTCTGGATGCCAGGTTCTTTATAGAACAGAAATGAAGGGAAGTGAGGAAATAAAGTAAAAAGGCAGAATAGAGAGGGAGAGGCAATGAGTCTTGGGACATCAGTCTTGCAAAACGTCTCTGGGAATCCCCATACAGTTTTTTAATTCATAAATTTTGCCTTTTACAGTTAGGTCTCTAATCCATTTAGAGCCTGCTTTTGCATGTGGCATTAAGGTCCTAGTTTTATTTTCCTTCAGTTTCCCAGAAGTCTCTGCTAAATAAACCTTCCTTTCTCATTGATTTGTTTTGTCAATTTATCATTTATCCAGTTTGTACTAAAGTCAATGTATCTGGGTTTATCTCTGAACTTGTTATTCTGCTTCCTTTGATCTATATGTTCTTTTCTAGATTGGTACCATATTTATTACTATGACTTTATACTAGGATTTAATGTTTGATAACAGTAGGTTCTCACCTCTTTTCCTTTTTAAGGTTGAGTTTTATTTGTGGACATTTCTTCATCCTTTATTGAATTCCTCAAAAAAATTCAGCTAGAATTTTGATTGTCATTATTATTCATATTATAAGTTCATTTATAGGAAATTGACATCTTTATAATACTAAGTGGTTCCAACCGAGACCTTTCCATTTTTACAGATCATCTTCTTTGTTCTTTAGTAGTGTTCAATTTCTTTTTCCCCTAGTCTTACTTTCTCTTGAGTTAAGTCAATCCTAGATACTTTACAGTATGAAAGTGAAAGTGAAAGTTGTATCTGACTCTTTGTGCCCCCATGGACTATACAGCCCATGGAATTCTCTAGGCCAGAATACTGGAGTGGGTAGCCTTTCCTTCCTCCAAGGGATCTTCCCAACCCAGGGATCAAACCCAGGTCTCTCACATTGCAAGCAGATTCTTTACCAGGTGAGCCCAAGAATACTGGAGTGGATAGCCTATCCCTTCTCTGGTGGATCTTCCCGACCCAGGAATCAAACTGGGTCTCCTGCATTGCAGGTGGTTTCTTTACCAACTGAGCTATCAGGAAAGCCCACTTTACAGTATGGGTTGAAATTATTACTATCTTATTTATTAATTCTTTTCTAGTCAATTATTGCTGGTGTAGAGAAATGCTGTTGATTTTTATAAGCCAATCCATAGCCTTGCTGAACTCTAGTTGAGTCTCCTGTTACCTCTGCCAAGTGTGCTGAATTTTCTATGTATATAATCACATTAATTCCAAATAATGACAGCTGGAGCTCTTTTCTTACAGTTATTGCACCAGTCTTTGTCCTTGCATATGGCATTGGAAGAAGGATTCCCAAGTGGCTCAGTGTTAAGGAATCCACCTATCAATGAGGAGATGCAGGTTTGATTCCTGGGTCAGGAAGATCCCTTGGAGAAGGAAATGGCCACCCACTCCAGTGTTCTTGCCTAGGAAATCTCATGGACAAAGGAGCCTGGAGAGCTACAGTCAATGGGATCACAAAAGAGTCGGACACAACTTAGTGACTAAAATAACAGTAATGGCACTGGAAGGATCTCCAGTCCTGTGACAGGGGACGTCCTTATTTTGTTTCTGATCATAAAGGGACTGCATTCAAAAATTATCTATTAATTATGTTTACCATTTCTGTTATATAGTCTTTATTAAGTTAAGCAGGTTTCCTCCTATTCGTAGACTGCTAAGAGTAGTTTTCTTAGTGATAGGTATTCGGTTCAGTTCAGTCGCTCTGTTGTGTCCAACTCTTTGCAACCCCATGGACTGCAGCACGCCAGGCTTTCCTGTCCATCACCAACTCCCAGAGCTTACTCAAACTCATATCCATTGAATTGGTGATGCCATCCAGCCATCTCATCCTCTGTCATCCCCTTCTCCTCCTGCCCTCAGTCTTTCCCAGCATCAGGGTCTTTTCCAGTGAGTCAGCTCTTTGCATCAGGTGGCCAAAATATTGGAGTTTCAGCTTCAGCATCAGTCCTTCCAATGAACACCCAGGACTGATATCCTTTAAGATGGACTGGTTGGATCTCCTTACAGTCCAAGGGACTCTCAAGAGTCTTCTCCAACACCACAGTTCAAAATCATCAATTCTTCAGCACTCAGCTTTCTTTATAGTCCAACTCTCACATCCATACATGACCACTGACCATAGCCTTGACTAGATGGACCTTTGTTGGCAAAGTAATGTCTCTGCTTTTTAATATGCTGTCTAGGTTGGTCATAACTTTCCTTCCAAGGAGTAAGCGTCTTTTAATTTCATGGCTTCAGTCACCATCTGCAGTGATTTTGGAGCCCAAAAATTAAAGATAGGTATTGACTGTTATCAAATACTTAATATCTAGATGTGTTAGAGGATTAGGCTGCAACCTGACTATTCTCTGAGAACATCTTATATGAAGTGTCAAAACACAGCCAGGCATTCAGGAACCTAGTGTGCATTCCTAGCAATTTTACTGTAATCACAGATATGTTTCTTGAATTTGCTAATCTTTGTAGCATAATTTGTACAGTGAGAGATTTTTGATTAAATAATACAAGATCTTCCTTATTTTATCACAAACAGAAAATTCTCCAAGGTCTCATTAAGTTTTGAGTTGTTCTTATTCTTAGAAATCATTCTCTACTTCAAAATTTTTTTAATGATTTTCATAATTAAATGTTGCTTTTGTGATCTCAACTGATTTTAAAATGATTTTGTCTTAATATAGTTTATGATTATCCAAATTTATTCTAATATTCAATTTTAAAGTAGTGATCAGCAACATATGCCCATGACCTTATGTCCTATTGCCTGTATCTCCAGTCCGTGGTCATTCCTCAGCTCCAGACTCACCAAGCTTACCAGACTCACTGGTATCTCTTGTCCCACGTGTAGCTTGATAATGGCATTGTCAAAGAGACATCCTCATTTGTCTTCCTATGGTCTTGCTCCACCTTCCGTCTTCTGTCCACAGAATTGTACAATCTAGAAACCTGGGTTCCACCTCAATTCTTCTAGTCTTTCATGTTCCATGTCAAACACCAAGCCTTCCAGAAAGTTCTCAAGTTCAATTCCCTGAGGTGTTTGAGCAGAATTGTGAGCAGCATGGAAGCCAAGAGCTGAGCCCCATGAGCAAATGGAGAGTAGATCAGGGAAGCGGGCCTGCAAAAGACCAGGTACAAGAATGAGGCCATTTGGCATATCCCAGGACCCTGTCCCTCTGGCCCTTACCCAAAACAGGCTCCAAAAATCCTAGTAGACATATTCTGAGCAGTTTAACTGGCCTTTTAACTTCCAAATGGATTTTTATTTATACCCAGGCATTTCAATAATGGTAGTAGAAACATAAATGGGATGTTAGTTCATTTGTTTAGTCATTCTTCCTCTGAATATTATCCAAGTTAGTCTTTAGTTCTGAAGGTCGTGAAAAATAATTTTATAATATTTGGTGCCACTTTTATTTGTTGATGTCCTAGTGCTGGGGATGACTAATATCAGCATTACAGCGTATGCCATTTTTGGTTTTATGGCACATGGTATTTTGATGTGGGGTACAGTAGAAAGTGTTTAATGATCATTCTACTGTGCATCTTTAATCTCTGCCCTTGGAACCACCCATGGTAAGTGAGATCTTCATTCTGAAAGATCTGAATCTTCGATTCATTCATCTGTAATTTGATGAATGTACATTCACAAATGTTCATAGGTTATCGTGCAGAATACTTTGTTCCCAAACTGTGCTTGCCCTTATGTGTAAGATATGTGTCTTTTGTACCGAAAATAAAGAGAAAATCAATCACTCATGAACCATTAAATGCTGAACTTAAGACTCATTCAGTGAGTGAGTGACTGCAAATATTATGAACACAGCCTTTCTTACCCCATTTTGAATAGCCCCATTTGTCTGTCTATAGAAAGAAAAATTACTTTGTAGATGCGTTTGCAAAATCTTGCCTGTTTCCTATTTCCAAAAATTATTGTATTCAGAATTCCTTTGATAAAATTCTTGTTGGCATTTATATGTCAGAAGATGTTAATTCCTTCCTTTAACAGATATCTATTGTGTACCTTCTCTGTGCCAGGCTCTGCCCTGGCCCGCTAAGAAGATAGCAGCAAACAAGAGACTCATTCCCTGCTTACATTCCCGCATGAGGAAAGAGGACATGAGCCAGCTATTCAGAAAATTATTTAATGATCTCAGCACCAGTTGGGGTCTACCCAACTGGACATTAGAATCAATTCCATAGGGTCCATGCCAGGGTTTGGAAGGTTCCAGAAACTAATATCCCTTATAACAACCCAATAGGCAGAGCTTCCAGTGTCCCCACAAGAATAAGTCCAGTTGCAAGAATCACTATTTTAAAGAAGTTCAGAGCTATGGTAAACCTACCAGATATTTATAGTTTCTTCCAGTTTATGATATAGTGTACCAATCAGAGGTTATTTTTATCATAAGCAATGTTGCTGGCATTCTACATTTATCAAGTTACTAGGAAACAGATCCAGGAATTATTTTAAGGTCAACTTTGTCCTTAGAGGAGAAAGAGTTGTGTTAACACTTTACCTACAATTACTTTCGTGAGATGTATGGAATGTGAAGAACATTTATGACCTAGAATGTTTATAGCTGATGCCACTGCTATGCAGTCATTCATTATGCTGCAGACTTTAAGTGATTTTTACATGGGCATATGATGCTGACACCCTCTTTATTTTGCAGATAAGTCATCATGGTGAAAAGCCACATAGGCAGCTGGATCCTAGTTCTCTTTGTGGCCATGTGGAGTGACGTGGGCCTCTGCAAGAAGCGACCAAAACCTGGAGGAGGATGGAACACTGGGGGGAGCCGATACCCGGGACAGGGAAGTCCTGGAGGCAACCGCTATCCACCTCAGGGAGGGGGTGGCTGGGGTCAGCCCCATGGAGGTGGCTGGGGCCAACCTCATGGAGGTGGCTGGGGTCAGCCCCATGGTGGTGGCTGGGGGCAGCCACATGGTGGTGGAGGCTGGGGTCAAAGTGGTACCCACAGTCAGTGGAACAAGCCCAGTAAACCAAAAACCAACATGAAGCATGTGGCAGGAGCTGCTGCCGCTGGAGCAGTGGTAGGGGGCCTTGGTGGCTACATGCTGGGAAGTGCCATGAGCAGACCTCTTATACATTTTGGCAACGACTATGAGGACCGTTACTATCGTGAAAACATGTACCGTTACCCCAACCAAGTGTACTACCGGCCAGTGGATCAGTATAATAACCAGAACACCTTTGTGCATGACTGTGTCAACATTACAGTCAAGCAACACACAGTCACCACCACCACCAAGGGGGAGAACTTCACCGAAACTGACATTAAGATGATGGAGCGAGTTGTGGAGCAAATGTGCATCACCCAGTACCAGAGAGAATCCCAGGCTTATTACCAAAGAGGGGCAAGTGTGATCCTCTTCTCCTCCCCTCCTGTGATCCTCCTCATCTCTTTCCTCATTTTTCTCATAGTAGGATAGGGGCAACCTTCCTGTTTTCATTATCTTCTTAATCTTTACCAGGTTGGGGGAGGGAGTATCTACCTGCAGCCCTGTAGTGGTGGTGTCTCATTTCTTGCTTCTCTCTTTGTTACCTGTATGCTAATACCCCTGGCACTTACAGCACTGGGAAATGAAGAGCAGACATGAGATGCTGTTTATTCAAGTCCTATTAGTTCAGTATGCTAATGCCCCATCTTAGCAGTGATTTTGTAGCAATTTTCTCATCTGTTTCAAGAACACCTGACTATATTTCCCTTTTGGAATAGCGTTTCTGCCAAGTCTGGAAGGAGGCCACATAATATTCATTCAAAAAAACAAAACTGGAAATCCTTAGTTCATAGACCCAGGCTCCACCCGGCTGAGAGCATGTGTCCTGTGTCTGCAGAGAACTGTAAAGGATATTCTGCATTTTGCAGGTTACATTTGCAGGTAACACAGCCAGCTATTGCATCAAGAATGGATATTCATGCAACCTTTGACTTATGTGCAGAGGACATTTTCACAAGGAATGAACATAACAATACAAAAGGCTTCTGAGACTAGAAAATTCCAACATATGGGAGAGGTACCCTTGGTGGCAGCCTTCTATTTTGTATGTTTAAAGCACCTTCAAGTGGTATTCCTTTCTTTAGTAACATAAAGTATAGATAATTAAGGTACCTTATTAAACTACCTTCTAGACACTGAGAGCAAATCTGTTGTTTATATGGAACTCAGGATGATTTTGACATTGCTTAGGGATGTGAGTGTTGAACCGTAAAGAAAGCTGAGTGCTGAAGAATTGATGCTTTTGAACTGTAGTGTTGGAGAAAACTCTTGAGAGTCCCTTGGACTGCAAGGAGATCAAATTAGTCCATCCTAAAGGAGATCAGTCCTGAATATTCATCGGAAGGACTGATGCTGAAGCTGAAACTCCAATACTTTGACCACCTGATAGGAAGAACTGAAGGCAGGAAGGATTCTTGGAAAGACTGAAGGCAGGAGGAGAAGGGGATGACAGAGGATGGATGACATCACTGACTCAATGGACACGAGCTTGAGTAAACTCCAAGAGTTGGCCATGGACAGGGAGACCTGGCATGCTGCAGTCCATGGGGTCGCAAAGATTCAGACACGACTGAGTAACTGAATTGAGGTGAACCCAGATTTTAACATAGAGAATGCAGATATAAAAACTCCATGTTCATTTGATCGAATCTTTCCTGAACCAGTGCTAGTGTTGGGTGGTAAGAGTATAACAGCAAGTATAGGTTATGTGATGAAGAGAGTAGTGTACAAAGAAAAGAAATATGTGCATTTCTTTATTGCTGTCTCACAATTGTCAAAAAACAAAATTAGGTCCTTAGTTTCTGTAATTGACTTTTGAATCAAAAAACAGGGAGGCATTTAAAGAAATACCTTAAATTAGAGATCTGATCCATTCAGAGTGGAAAAAGAAATTCTATTACTATTATTTAAGAAGATAAAATTATTCCCTGGATTGTTCAATATTGTCACCTAGCAGATAGACACTATTATTCTGCACTGTTATTACTGGCTTGCACTTTGTGGCATCCTATGTAAAAATATGTATATTGCATATGACAAACTTAAGAATTTCTGTTAGAGCAATTAACATCTGAACTATCTAATGCATTACCTGTTTTTATAAGGTACTTTTTGTAAGGTACTAAGGAGACATGGGTTTAATCCCTAGGTCAGATAAATCCCCTGGAGGAGGAAATGGCAACCCATTCCAGTATTCTTGCCAGGCAAATCCCATGGACAGAGGAGCCTGGCAGGGTGTAGTCCATGCATAGCGTTGCAAAGAGTCAGACAAGACTTGAGCTACTAAACAATAACAACAATAAATGCTGGGTCGGCTAAAAGGTTCATTAGGTTTTTTTTTCTGTAAGATGGCTCTGGTAGTACTTGTCTTTAACTTCATTTGAAACAATTTTGTTAGATTGTATGTGACAGCTGTTGTATCAGCATGCATTTGAAAAAAAACCTTACCAAAATTGGTGAATTTTTGTATAGCCATTTTACTATTGAAGATGGAAGAAAAGAAGCAAAATTTTCAGCATATCATGCTGTATTATTTCAAGAAAGGTAACACAACCAAAATGCAAAAATATATTTGTGCAGTGTATGGAGAAGATGCTACAACTGATCAAGCATGTCAAAGTAGCTTGGGAAGTTTTGTGCTGGAGACTTCTTACTGGACGATGCTCCACAGTTGGATATACCAGTTGAAGTTGATAGTGATCAAATCAAGATATCAAAAACAATCAATGTTATACCACGCGGGAGATAGCTGACATACTCAAAATATATGAATAGAACCTTGAAAACCATTTGCACCATCTCAGTTATGTTAATCACTTTGATGTTTGAGTTCCACATAAGTTAAGCAAAAAAAAAAAAAAACTTGACCATACTTGCACATGCAGTTCTCTACTGAAATGTAATGAAAACACTGTTTTTAAAAACAGATTTTGATGAACTGTGGATGCTATACAATAATGTAGAATGGAAGAGATTGTGGGGTGAGCAAAATGAACCACCACCACCAAAGGCCAGTCTTCATCCAAAGATGTGTGTATGGTGGGATTGGAAAGTAATCCTCTATTATGAGATTCTTCTGGAAAACCAAAAAATCAATTCCAACAAGTACTGCTCCTAATTAGACCAACTGAAAGCAGCACTCAATGAAAAGCATCCAGAATTAGTTGATAGAAAACATATAATCTTCCATCAGGATAATGCAAAGCTATATATTTCTTTGGTGACCCAGCATGGCTGGGAGGTTCTGATTCATCTGTTGTATTCAGATATCACATCTTTGGATTTCCATTTATTTCAGTCTACAAAGTTATCAGAATAGAAAAAATTTCCATTCCTTGGAAGATTGTAAAGTGCATCTGGAAAAGTTCTTTGCTCAAAAAGATAAAAAGTTTTGTGAACACGGAATTATGAAATTGCCTGAAAAATGGCAGAAGGTAGTGGAACAAAAGAGTGAATATGTTGTTCGGTTAAGTTCTTGGTGAAAATGAAAAATATGTCTTTTATTTTTATTTGAACACAAAAGGCACGCTTTGGCCAACCCAATACTGCATACTTAAAGGAAACTCTTCTGTGTTGTCCTTAGCCTTACAGTGTGCACTGAATAGTTTTGTATAAGAATCCAGAGTGATATTTGAAATACGCATGTGCTTATATTTTCTATATTTGTAACTTTGCATGTACTTGTTTTGTGTTAAAAGTTTATAAATATTTAATATCTGACTAAAATTAAACAGGAGCTAAAAGGAGTATCTTCCACGGAGTGTCTGGTTATGTTCACCAGTGTGCACAGCATGTTGGCAGCTTCATTTTGGGGGTTAATATGAGAAAAGTGGCACATTTAGTCCTTACACTGCCAGTTGAGGCAGGAGGGCCACTCCTGATCCTGCCTCAGCCTTACTCCCAGTCACATGCCAGCTGTTCTCTGCTGCCTTTTCATATTTTTCCATGAATACCTGTCAAAGTCACTACTATAGCAGAGGAAAACAGTCCTTGCATTCTGGAAGATTTTTTTCTGTCCAGGATTTTGAAATAGAAGATTTTCTTGAGTAAGATGAGACTTAAAGTATCTACCTTATGCCTGTACCCACCCTTGACACTATTTCAGGTTACAAACTGTGAGGCCTGGTGACAATCACCCATTGGATTGAAATTCAACACTGTACAGTCAATATGGCTACTTCCCTTTGTTGCAGGCTTTCAAATGGTTCTTCATATGTTTCCTCCTTCCCAAGTATGAGGTGCCAGCTCTCAGTTTTCCTTCACAGAGGTTTTCTTCTGCACCTATAATTCACTAACAGCTGGAAGTAATAATAAAAAAAATGATAGTGGTTGAAATCATAATAGTTATTAATACTTTAGCAAATGCCAGTGTCCTTCAGTCTCTGAACAGAGGATCAACTTTGCATTAAAAATGAAAAGATTAAAAATCAACATCTTGATATCCCATGATTCACAAAACTAATTAAAAAATGACATAAAATCCTCAAAAGCATTACTCAAAGTTAATCTTTAACGTAAGAAGTTCTAAGACTATTTTCATGCTGTCCTTTTGGCCATATTTAAGATTATTTAAAGATAAACTATTCATTATCTGCCAATCATAATCTCCCAAGAATACCCCACTGAAAATATATCAGTTATACAAAGCAAGGTATTTACAAGGCCGAAGTGAATGATACACATCTGTATCTTTCTCGGGCTACCATGTTTTCTTCCTGTTACTTCCAATTCCTGTGAGTTGTGCTACAGAAATTTTTTTATATTTTATATATATATTTTAATTAGAGGATAATTACTTTACAATATTGTGATGGTTTCTGTCATATATCAACATGAATCAGTGTAGGGCTTCCCAAGTGGCGGTAGTGGTAAAGAACTCACCTGCCAATGCAGGAGACATAAGAGATGTGGGTTCAATCCCTGAGTCAGGAAGATCCCCTGGAGGAGGGCATGGCAACCCACTCCAGTATTATCGCCTAGAGAATCTCCATGGACAGAGGAGCCTGGCAGGCCACAGTCCTTAGAGTTGAAAAGAGTCAGACACGACTGAAGCGACTTCGCATGCATGCATACTTATGGCCCCTCCCCTCTTGAACCCTCTGTACCACCTCCCTCCCCACCCCACCCCTCTAGGTTGTCACACAGCACTAGCTTTTGTTTCCCTGCATCATACCCACTGGCTCTCTGTTTTACATATGGTATATGTTTCAATGTTATTCTCTCATATCATCTCACACTCTCCTTCCCTTACTGTGTCCAAAATGTCTGTGTCTCCTTTGCTGCCCTGCAAGTAGGGTCATGAGTACTATCTTTTTAGATTCCATCAGTTCAGTTCCGTTGCTCAGTCATGTCCAACTCTTTGCGACCCCATGAATCACAGCACGCCAGGCCTCCCTGTCCATCACAAACTCCCAGAGTTTACTCAAACTCATGCCCATCGAGTCGATGGTGCCATCCAGCCATCTCATCCTCTGTTGGCCCCTTCTCCTCCTGCCCCCAATCCCTCCCAGCATTAGGGTCTTTTCCAATGAGTCAGCTCTTCATATGAGGTGGCCAAAGTATTGGAGTTTAACTTCAGCATCAGTCCTTCCAGTGAACACCCAGGACTTATCTCCTTTAGGATGGACTGGTTGGATCTTCTTGCAGTCCAAGGGACTCTCAAGAGTCTTCTCCAACACCACAGTTCAAAAGCATCAGTTTTTCGGCACTCAGCTTTCTTCACAGTCCAACTCTCACATGCATACATGACCACTGGAAAAACCATAGCCTTGACTAGACGGACCTTTGTTGGCGAAGTAATGTCTCTGCTTTTTTTTTTTTTTTTTAATTTTTTAATTGGAGGATAATTGCACTTTACCATTTTGGGTTTCTTCCGTACAACAGTGTGAATCAACTATAAGTACATGTATTTTGCCTCTCTCCTGAGCCTCCCTCCCACTCCCCACCTCCATCCCACCCCTCTAGGTCATCACAGAACATCAGGCTGTGTATAGGCTCCCTGTTACATAGCTCTTCCTACTATATATTTTATACATATAAGATGTGTAACTACAATATGTAAAAATATAGTTAATATAAACAATGCAGTGCCATTAAAATCCAGCTAGACAATGTCTCTGCTTTTTAATATGCTATC